TATCCGAGAGGCTGGGCTCCATGAGGAGAAGTGTGGCATCAGGATTGGTAGAAGATCTATTAACAATCTGCGTTATGCAGATAACACAATCCTGCTTGCTGAAACTGAGGAGGACCTCATGCACTTGCTGCAGAGGTCAAGGACTGCAGCCTTCAGTATGGACTGAGGCTCAATGTCAAGAAGACAAAGTTTCTCACCACTGGACCAATTGGCAGCATCAGGATGGATGGCAAAGAGATTGAGATTGTTCACAGCTTCAGTTTGCTCAGCTCCATGGTCAACACTTTTGGCACCAGCAGCCAGGAAATAAAAAAAAAAAAAAACCATATTGCAATGGGAAAGTCTGCTGTTAGGGACCTCTCTAAAGTACTCAAGAGCAACGGTGTGTCTCTGGAGATGAAGGTGCTTCTGATACAGGCCATGGTCTTTGCAATCACTTGTTATGCATAAGAGAGTTGGACAATGACTAGGGAGGATAGAAGGGGAATTAATGCCTTTGAGCTGGAAAAGAGTATTGAATGTACCATGGACTGCCAAGAAAACAAACAGATTCATCCTAGAAAGGGTTAAACCAGGCTACTCTTTGGAAGCAAGTATTCTGGGGCTTCGGCTGACATACTTTGGACATGTTGTAAGGAGGGACAGGTCCTTGGAGAGGGACATCATACTTGGGAGGGTGGAGGGACAGTGTAGGAGGGGAAGACCCTCTATGAGGTGGATTGATTCAATGATAGGGGTAATTGGGATGGGTGTGTCAGAGGCAGTGCGATTGGCACAGGATAGAGCAGGGTTTAGGGCTGTTGTGCATAGGGTCGTTATGAGTCGTAAGCAACTCAATGGCACATAACAACAACAACAACAACATTACAGTTATGACAAGAGTCCAGAATGAAGGTTGCATAGTGGAGTGTACTGGGGGTGTGGTGGGTGGGAGGAGATTGTATACCAGTGAAGGAATTCTTCTTTTACTTTTCAAAGAGAAGAGTAAACTGGGAGAGAGGAGTGGGCAGGTAGAAAAGTGCAACAATAAATGAATGGAAATCCAAAAATCTCTGTAAATGTTAATTACAATTAATAAAATTTTAAAAAAATCCTTAACTCCAAGGAGCAACATGGTTTCACCCTTTCCAGGATAGACCTTTTTATTCTCTTGGTGGCCCATGTTCAATAGTCTTCTGTAGCACCACAATCCAAAGGTATCAGTTCTTCTTTTATCATTTTTACCTCTAAGGATAGTAGTACCAATGAATTGATTGTGAATTAATTTGCTACCAGTAGTCAGGAGATCAGAACACATATTGCTTTGGGAAAGTTTATAGTCAGAGAACACTCCAAGTTATGGAGGAGCAATGATGTCAGCTTGAGGACTCAGGTTTGCCTTATTTAGTATTTTCAATCACTTGCTATGCATCTGAGAGCTGGACAATTAATAAGGATGAGAGAGGAACTGATATCTTTGAAATACAGTGTTGGAAAGGAATGATAAAGAGGAACGTAATGCTTGGGAAGTTGGAAGGACAGTGAAGGAGAGGAGGATCCTCACGTTGGTGGACTGACACAGTGACTGCAGCAAGTCACTGGGCTTGAGTGTGTCAGAGATTGTGAGGATGGCACAGGATAGGGCAGGGCTCAGATCTGTTGCTCATAGGGTAGCTATGAGTCATACTGAGCTCTATGGTCCCTAACAACAACTACTTCTAAGGAGCACCTTAATTGCACTTTCTTCAAGACCTATTTGTTTGGTTTTTTTTTTTTTTTGGAAGTCCATCAGATATTCAGTACTCTTCTCCAACACCACAATTCATAGGGATTGATTCTTCTTCTCATTGTCCAACACTCAGATGCACTGCAAGTGATTGAAATGACAATGGCTTGAATCAGGTGCACCGTGGCCTTTAAACTGACATCATTGCTCCTTAGCACTCTGAAGAGGTTTTTGATAGAAGACTTTTCCCAGTGCAAGACATCTTTTGTTTTCTTGACTGCTGGTGTTGCTCATGGAACCAAGTGATTACATTGTTGTTGTATGCTACCAAATTAGATTAACCTATAGCTCTCCAGGGTGTTTTCAGAGGCAGTTAACTATACAGGAGGAGATGAACAAAACAAAGCATGTATGAAGGACTGAATCAAGAACCCAACCAATATGATCGGTAAACTTTCAATTAAAAAAAGGGAAAAATGTTCAATAAAGAAATATTTAATGAACAGATATTGCTATGTGTCTTTTTACAGCAGTGTATGTGTGTATCTCAGTTGAGATTAAGTTAGATGAAGTGGCAGAACTTCAAAGAAAAAAATAAGCGTTGAAGAGCCAAAGGAAAGACAGGAAAATTACAACAACAAAATGAGTGAGACAAATGGATCATGTTATCTCAATTGAAATTATTTTTGTTGTTAAGTGCTGCTGAGTAGAACTCGTAATGACCCTATGACCAACAGATCTAATCTTGTCCTATCCTGTGCCATAATTGGAACTAACTGACCTGCCAGCAGGTTTTGAGAGACTGTGAACTGCACGGGAAGAGAATTCCCATATTTCTCCTCAGAGCATTTTTTGGATTCAAACTGCCTCCCTTTGGGTTGGCAGTGCAATTCCTTACCACTAGACTGGCAGAACTCTGTAATTCACTATTATATAAAAGAGGCAAGAAAAGGTTCTTTAAAGCCTCCAGAAGGTAAGTGACATTGTAGAACCATGATTTTTTTTACTTCTGGCCTCTGGAACAATAAGATAATTTATTTGGTTGTTTTAAGCCAGTTTTAGACATATGTTATAATAATCACAGAGAATATAGGCATTACCAGAATTCACCATATATTGTTTCTTTATTGTTTTTGTTGTTGTGTGCTGTCAAGTTGGAACCCATCCATAGTTAACCCTCCAGCGGGTTTTCAGGGGCAGTAAATCCCATAGAAGACAGTCCATACTTTGTTGAAACAGCCCAGTGCATTTAAATCTTGAGCCTTTGGGATTGCAGCACAGCTCCTTACCACTAGGCTACCAGAGTGCTGTTGTTGTGTACCATAGAGTCAGAACCCACCCATAGTTGACCCTCCAGTGGATTTTCAGAGGCTGTAAATCGCAAGAGAGGAGACTGTCCATCTTTCTCCGTGGAGCAGCTGGTGGGTTTGAATTGCATGCCTTCAGGACTGCAGTGCAGTTTCTTGCCATTAGGCCAAAAGAGCTATCAGAGAAAATACCATTAAAAACAACCCAAAATTCCTTCCCTTGAGTTAGATTCTGCTTCAAATAGATCAAAGAGCTCTTAGTAAATAAGAATTTGTGAACAGCCTAAAGATAAAGGAGCTCAATTTCTGTACACATAACATTTAATGATCTTTTAATACAACACCATTCCTTCAATGACTGAGATCTATGAATCTTTAAAGGAGAAAGAAAGTGAGAAAGTAATTGTGCTGTAAACTATCATTCATGTATCTCCACTTATCTTGTGACTGCCTGATAATTAACATCAGATTTTATCACACTTCATGTGCTTCCTTCTTCTTTTCAGTTTAAATTATTTAATGTCATCTGTGTCTCCTGATTAGGTTCTTTTTATCTTTGGATGTACTTTGCTTCATGTTGCCTGAATGTGGTAGAGGAGATACTAAGTGTTGCTAACCAGTAACCTGCAGTTTGCAGTACACAATCTTCTAAGACATTTAGTTGTTAAGACAGCAAGTTAAATGACAGGATGAGTCTCTTTCCACCTTTAACTCAATTCTGAATCTAAATCTGCCGTCACCAAACAATCCCAGAAATCTCATTTAAATAATTAATTCCATAGTTAATTTTTATAGTTCACCACTGCAGTGGCAGGAAGGTTTCTTCAAAATGTCACACACTGAATTGCCTAACAGAAAGGAGTTGGTACTCCTGACAGGGTCTATTGGCTTTTTCTTGAAATTATCAGTGCTATTTGTCATTGATAACAATGACACTTTTAAGTGTTTTCTGAGAAGCTGAAGCAGAGAGAAAAATTAGAAACCAGCAGTAATAGAGGGTGGGAATCCCTACCACACTAACCCCTTGCTTAGCCTTTACCAGTTTTGCCTAGGGGGTCTCTGATCCCCACTTCAAAGTTTTCCGGCTCCTTCAATGGGCCAGCTCTGGGGTTCCAGGCCAGCTAGCAGTGTGCGCCCTAAGATTCTGTAGAGAAGATTCAATTTCTTCCCCACGAATGTGTTAGACAAAATACTGTTGCTAATCTGACTTGCAGTTTGCAGTTATAGTAAAGGGGGGGGGGGTGAAAGCTTGCACAATGTTGCCTCGCCTTCATCACAAATCGCTCAAAAGGAGCCCAAATCCGCGCATTCCTTTCACTCCAGGGGTGAGTGGGCAGAGTCTCGGGGTCCGAGAGCCCACCTGCAGGCGTGGCTCACCTGGCGTGGTCCGGCCCACCTTACCAAGGCTGCAAGGGATGATGGACAGAGAGGACTATACGAATTTGAGTTTTGATTGGGGACCAACTTTTTTTTCCCAGTAGCCTCCCATCCACCACCCTCGAGGAACACTGCGGTCGGCGGACCACCAAAACACACCCAACTCCGGGGACTTCAGCGGAGAACCCGGAGGCTGAGAGCCGCCACCTCCCCCGCGCAAACGTCATCCGGGCGTCGCGAAGTATTTTAAAGCCTCGAAGAAAAGCGCATATGAAAAAACGCCCGAAACAAAATACTTCGCATCCCGCCGTTTTTGCAGCCTACAGAGTAATCTTTGTTACATCCATACCTTAGTTATTTCTGTATGAGCTCTCCAAGGTTATGCTCCCAAAGCACAGGTCAAACTGATTTGTTGGAGCGGGATGCTCGAAGATGCTCAGTGACTGTGGCTCTTTATGTTGCCCCTCGCTCCGCAGCTGGTCTTGGTGACAGCAGGTCTATTAGTTCTTCGCCGCTCTCAGCTTTCCCGCTGGCCTGGCCCGAGCTCACAGTTCCTGTATTTGGGAAATGGCCTGCTGTGGGTCCCGGTGAGTGCGCGTTTATTAGAGGTTGAGTGGTAGTGATGGCGGCGCTCGGTGAGACTTTCCTGTCACTGGATACTACTACTCCCAGCCCTCCTGAAAGCCGCCTATGCAACCCCTGAGTCTTTCGTTTACAAGTGGCAATTTGGCTTGCTCTGCTGCATGTCAGGAGGGATCGAGCAAAGTGTGGAGTCGCCCCGGGAAATAAGGGATCGCAGTTTGAAAAGAAAAAAAGCCAAACAAATAAACAAAACCCACCCACCCTAACAAACATGGGGCTGCTGGAGAGAATGAGGAAAGAATGGTTCATGGTCGGAATAGTGTTGGCGATCGCTGGAGCTAAACTGGAGCCGTCCGTGGGGGTCAATGGGGGTAAGTGATACACTACCGCGATTTCCACTTAAGGACTAATTTCGGAATCTGAAAAAAGGGGAAACTGTGTAATTGGGAAGCATCTGTCTTTTTTTGGGCAGTGATCATCCCAGAGTACCCCTTGACCTTTTTGCTGATTTTTCAATTTGCCAGCTCCAACAGGGAGCTGAATTTGAGCGCTAGTTGTCTTTTCCGCCTACCATCAATGACTATCCAGGAGTGTGGTTACGGAGAATGAAACTTACTCCTCTTCCTTTCAAAGTAGTAACCTATCCCAAGGGACATTAGGTTTCCAGGAACTCCTTGTCTATCTTGAGGTGGAGATCATTAGCTTCCCTGTCAGTCTATTATGCCATTTCCCACTCTCTGAATTGGAAGAAAAAAAAGTAAGAGATAAAAGAGGGAGAAAAATGTAAATAAGAACTTCCACCACCACCACCAAGCTCAGGTTTTCTTGGCCCACATGTTGAAGAGTGCTGATTTGCTCTCTTGCTGCTGCTTCTGCAACTCCCAAGCCTACTGACACGTTGCATTTTTTTCTTTACCGGACAGACTTCCGTGTGCTTCACCAGCAGTCTAACAGATATGGACTGTATTAGAGCTCGTGCAGTGTGTTTTGGCAAGGAAATGCAGGAGTGCTAAAATTTACTTAAGATTTTTGAACAGAGTGATTCTTGTAATGTGAGGCTGGGCATTAGGGGAAACAAACTAGAAGTATAATTAGCCCACTGGAACCCCTATATACCCCCTTATAAAATTATTTCTTTAATACATTAACCCTTTTTGATTTTGCCAGTTAAGCTTATTCATAAATTTATTTGGGCAAATAAGGCACAGATGAGCACACACAACCTTGTAATAGAAATATGCACAAAAGGTAAAATTATTATAATGAAAATAATTTTATGAATGCATTCTTTAATATTTATCATCTTTTTCTAAACATGATAGAAAGGAATGAATTTTTTTTTTCTTTTTTCAGGAGCTCTCCTCTTTCCTCACTACAATTCCTCTACTTTTAGAAGTGAATTCTGGGAATGTTTTGAACAAAGATTATGGAGAGTTAAATTTTGGGTTTTTAAAAAAAATTAGTTTTACCCTTTATATTTAACTTCGAATACAAAAGATTCAGAATGTGTAAATTTAAAAATAAAGTGGTTGCTCCTTGTAGCTTCTCCTTCCGAGGAGCCTTGGTAGTGCAGTTGTGAAGTACTTGGCGGCTAGCTGGAAAGTAGTCAAGTGGTCATAGGCTTCAGCCCACCAAGATCTCTGCGAGAAAGCAAGGCATGACAGTCTGCTTTCCGAAAAGGTTTACCACCTTGGAAAGCCTACAGGACAGTTGTACCCTTTCATGTTGTTGTGTACCATAGAGTCAAAACTAACCTATAGCTGACCCTCCGGTGATTTTCAAAGGCAGTTAATGTGTGTGTGTGTGTGTGTGTGTGTGTGTGTGTGGTGTGTTTGTGTGTATGTGAGTGGGGGTGTGTGGAGCAGCTGGTGGCCTCAAACATACCTTCAGGATTACAGCTGCTTCTTGCCACTAGAGCTCCTTACAAGATCATAATCTTTGGCAGAGACTTGGCAGGGAATCGGTGTGTTTGTTTTGACATAGCTTCTCTGGAATCTTTTTGAAAGTTCAAGTGAATACTGATGCTTCACATTCTCTCTTCTCTCCCTTCTCTTTCTCTCTCTCCCTCATTGCCATTGAGTCAGAACGGATTCATAGCTGACCTTCCATTGGATCTTCAGGGACTGTCAGTCACATGGGAATGCACTGCCCATCTTTATTCAACAGAGCAGCTAGTGGATTCCAGTCACCACAGAGCCCCTACCTTTGGGTTAGCAGTGTAGCCTCCTACCCATTAGGTCAGGATCTGTAAAAGGAAGAGACTTTTTCCCTGGATGCTAACTTGATAGTAAGAATTAGAGCTAGGGGGCAGTGAAGAAAATGGGAAAGTACTGGTGTGATAAACAATGTATTCGAACTTTGTGAATAAACCAGTATTAAAAAGAAAAAAAAAAGTCAAAAGTTAGAGGAGGCCTTTGTGATGATCTGAAACATTTCACTACTTTTAACTTCTCGCTTTTGATCTCTTTTTTTGCTCAGTTTTAAGGTAAACTCATAGATGATGCATAATCTTTAAGCTTAAATTCACAGATGCTGGTTTTGGTCAAATACTTTTTATCCTGTATTCCCGGAATATTTTGCGAGGAGAAAGGTTTTTGAGCCCTGAATCATTTATCTAGGGCTTCCTGTCCAGTGACGGGTATGAGCAGCTTTAAGTTATTGTCTTTATTTCCCCAAACTCTGCTTATTAATTTTTTTGGAGTGCAATTTTTGTTGTTACGTGTCATCGAGTTGTCTGCGACTCGTAGTGACCCTATGTACATTAGCTCTGAATGTTTCCCTATCCTGCGCCAATCTCATCATCTCTGATAGACCTAATCCCATTGCTCCAATCACTGAGTCAATCCATCTCATTCTGGGTCTTCCTCTCCTGTACTCTCTCTGCACCCATCCACGCTTGATATCCCCCTCAAAGGACTGGTCCCCTCCTGGCCACGTGCCCAAAGTATATGAGACGGAGCCTCAAAATCCTTGCCTTCAGGGAGCAAACTTGTTTCACCTTCTCCATTACAGACTTGTTTATCCTCCTGGCAGTCTGTGGTATGTTCAACACTCTTCTCTAGTTCCACAACTCAAAGGCATTGATCCTTCTTCTGTCATCCTTAGTTATTGTCCAGCTCTCTGATACATAGCAAGTGACTGCGAAGACAATGGCTTGGATCAGGTGCATCTTAGTCTCCAGGCTGACATCAGTCACTGCCTTTCAGTACTTGAGAGAGGTCTCTGACAACAGACTTTCTCAATGCATTTCACCTTTTGATTTCTTGACTGCTGGTGTTGAGAGTGTTGATTGTGGACCCAAGTAAGCTGAAGTTATCAACAATGCCATTTTCTTCTCTGTCCATTATGAAAACTGTCAAAAGGCTCAGTGGTTAGAATTTTGGTTTTTTGATGTTGAGCTTTAATCCATATTGAAGACTACAGTCCTTGACCTTCAGCAGATGCCTCGTGTCTTCTTTAGTTTCAGCAAGCAATGTTTTGTCATTTGCATAACGCAGACTGTTGATGAATCTTCTTCCAATCTTGATGCCACATTCCTCCTCATAAAGTTCCCCGTCCTGAATGATCTTTTCTGCATATAAATTGAAAAGCTATGAGATAGGATGCATCCCTGATAAATACTTTTCCTGATCCTGAACCATGCAGTGTTTTCCTGCTCTGTTCTGATTACTGCTTCCAGGTCCAAGTATAGGTTTTGAATAAACACAATTAAATGTTTTGGGGTACTCCTTCTCCTCAAGCTTAAACGCAATTGTTGTGATCCACAGCATCAAATACCTTTGCACAGTCAGTGAAACACAGATAGACATTGCTCTGGTACTCTTTGCTTTCAGCCAAGATCAATGTAACATTGACTATGATGTCCCTAATGCCACAGCTTTTTCTAAGCTTAGCCTGCACATCTGGCAGTTTTCTGCTGAGGTACTGTTCCATTTGTTTCTGGATAATTTTTAGCAAGATCTTACTTGCATGTGATATTAGTGATATTGTTTGATAATTTCTGTTGGGTTACCTTTTTTTGAAATGAGAATAAACACAGATCTCTTCCAGCCAGTTGGCCAGGTAGTTGTCCAGATATCTTGGTATAACCTGGTAAGCGCATCCAGGGCAGCATCTGTTTGCTGAAATATGTCAGTTGGTATTCCATCAATTCTTGGGCCTTGTTTCTTGACAATTCCTTCAGAGCAGCTTAAACTTCCTCCTTTATCACCACAGGCTCTTGATCATATGTTGTTTCATGAAATTGTTCTGTGTCAACCAGTTCTTTTTTATATAGTGCCTTTGTGTACTCTTGCCATTTCTTTTGATGCTTTCTGGGTCATTCAACATTCTGCCTCCAGCATCTTTAATTATGGCAACTCAAGGCTTGAATTTATTCTTTAGTTCCTTCAGCATAAGAAATGCTGAGTGAGTTTATCACATTTGATTTTCCAACTCCAGCTTCTTGCACATTTCATTTTAGTACTTTGCTTTGTCTACCTGTGCTGCATTTTGGAATCTTCTGTTCAGCTCTTTAATGCCTTGATTTCTTCCCTTTGCTTTGCCTTCTCAGCATTGTAGTGCCATATGGAGAGTCTCCTATGATGTCCATCTTGGTCTTTTCTGTCTCCAGTCTTTACGGTGACTTTTTACATTCTTCATGAATGATGTTCTTGATATCCTTCCACAGCTCCTCTGGTCTTTGCTCATTAGTGCTCAAGGCTTCAAACCTTTTTCTGAGATGGTCTTTTCTAGTGAGGTCGACTTGAGGCCAAACTTTGATTCTTGTGGATTAGATTTTATTTAGTCTCTGAATTTGCTTATGACTAGTTATTTGATGGTCTATTGGAATGCAATTATATCTTAGAAATAGTTTCCCCTCCCTCTTATTTTTCTTCTCATGCTATTAATATAGGATAATTTCCTTCCTTATTTAGTTATAAAAAACATAGAATGTAAGAACTGAAGTGGATATTAAAGACCTTGAAAGTACTTTAATCCAACTTACCCATTTTTATTTTATTTCTTTTAACATTTGAACGTACTAAGGTCTGAGGGGATGTGACTCAACCTAAGTTAGTTAGCTCAAAAAAAAAAAAAGAGAATGAACTAGGCAACAAGACTCTTCCAGTAATAAAGTTGCAAAATTCATAATAGCTGTCCTGGAAAAAATGTGTAGAAGGTGAATAACCATAATAAAGGAGGGTGTTATGTAATAAAGACCATTCCCATGCCTTGGCATTTAGCCCCAAAGAGCAAAACAAATTCAACTAATATTAGATAATGCACTGCTTTTGATTTCTTTGGTACCTGTCCTTGAGTAAAAGTTGTGTTTTCTAAACCCAAAAGGTAAATAATTGAATAAGTGTTTGGAGTTGATTTATATAGGCTG